GAATGGTGCCACACATGCAGTACGTGTAGTGTAAATAGGGGACCCAAGCATAAGGGACGACCACCTTATGAAGAGTTGCCTGAGAATATGTCAGAATCTGTGAAAGTGTTATCAGAAAGGATGGATGATATTCACCATCAAGTGCGTTCAAACTTAAAAACGTCTGCTGATTCGATGAAGTTAACTTATGATAAGAGATCTACTGAAGTCGGCTTTGTACCAGGAGACAAGGTATGGTTGTATAATCCCAGGAAGACCAAAGGGAAGTCTCCTAAGTCGTCTTCTCCATGGGAAGGCCCATATGACATAGTGGATCGTCTCTCAGACGTGACTTTCCGGATAAAATGTGGTCGGCGAGGTGAGCCAAAAATGGTGCATGCCAACAGGCTTTGCCATTATCACAGTCCAGGACATTTCAGTTGGGACAAAGTGAACAAAGGAACAAATGACGCTGCTGAAGATGTGCCACCGTCAAAGAAGAAACTCTACTAAGTTTTGAGAAGGGAAACAGTGAAGCTCTTGATGAAGTTACTACCACTGATGTGACTGTTATCGACGATAGGACTTTTCCTGATGAAGCAGATGAACCCCACATGAAGCAGAAGCCAACGAGACAGAGATCACTACAGAAGATACGTCCCGTAAAATTAAGAGACTTTGTTGAATTGTAATTTTGCGTTTGTAATTCTGTACATTTAATTGAGTTATTGTTAATTGTTATTGGTTTATTGTAAGTGGCTATTGTTCGGGACGAACAATACCAAGGAGGGGCAGTGGTGCGTCAGCGAGATCACGTGACTAGTATCACGCCACCCGTTTTCTAGAACTATCCTGTTCCTTCGGGAGTGCTCTAGCATTTGCTAGATTGGGGGTGGTCTGGTATATATAAGATGGTCACGGCGTGACGTGACAATGTGAGTAGGTAGTGAGTAATTGAACTGCAGTCAGAAAGTATTGTTGAAGTTAACGTTCGTTGTTATAGCGTTTGTTATAGAGCGACTGTTGAAAATAAGTGTATCGGTAAAGTTGTATTCGGAAAGAATAAACCAGTTTTATTAAAAAAGGACTTGTGTCGCTAAAGTTTCGTTGGAAAGAAGTTACGGAAAATTAATTAACAAACAGAAACGTGTGTGTAATGTCATGTCTCTTTAATACGATATTACTTTGAAATGTAGTATTCAATTAAGGGCTACTGCGAATTATTCAAGTTTATGTTAACATTTGTAACTCACCCGAGTAATTTGTTTTTAATATAAATTGTGAATGTCCTATAATAATCAAATATAAAGTTAAGGTCAGAATTGACTAGTAGTAGTAGAAAGCTGCACGTGCGGGTAAAATACACGCTTGGACAAACAATCATCATGCAACAGTCATTAGTAAAGTACTGTTACGTATCTGGTCATTTGTTAACTTCCGGTATAAATTCTTTTAGCGATACAAGTCCTTTCTTAATTAAAACTAGTTTATTCTTTCTGGATACAACTTTGCAATACACAGAATTTCCTCTGTCAATACGTTTGCAATCTCGATAACAAAACACACACTTTATATTACCGTCACTACCGCTCGCTTGACTCAATTATCTGTCTATATATATATATATATATATATATATGCAAATTATCTCTCCAATTTATTTGCCGGACTTATAATCCAAAAAGAAGGGCGCCTGGAACAGACTAGAGTTGCCAGGAAAAGTCAGGATCCTTCTAGAAACTCCAGCGCGCATGCTTCCAGGGTCGCGTGGCTTACGCTGTCGTAACAGTACATTAGGTTTCGGAAAACTTACAAGTTAGTTTTCAAAATACTGTTATAAAACAGTACACTCTCTGCCGATTAGAGGACAGATTAACTGGTATAAATTCTCAGGTGCATGACTGTGCCAAAACCTGCAAAAAATGGTTGTTTTTAACTAGGCTGAAATCGATCCTCTATTTTTAGCGTTATAAGCTTGCAATAAACCCATTGAGCCACCTAGAGCCCCCTCCCCTCGCGAAGAGGTCTGTCACCACAAGTAAAGAAATAAGAGAAAAATGTTTGATTATGTTATTTATTCTAACCAAGAATAAGAAAAGCTGTTGAATTTAGTCAGATTTTCAAACTTAGTATGGGCCTGGCATGATCTGGCGCTTGCCTTGCAAATCCGTGGATCTAAACGCGTAGCCGAACATGCTCTCTCTTTCAGCCGCGGATGAATTATAACGTGACAGACAATTCTTCTATTCGTTGGTAAAGAGTAGTCCAAGAATTGGCAGTGAATGGTGTTTACTAGCTGCCTTACTTCTAGTGAGTTTAGTCTGTCTCTTCGACATTAAGGACGGTTTGCGCAGGTAGCTTTGCACGAAATTCAACAACAAATAAAGTCCTTCTGTTCTCCTTCACATTTCTAACTAACTATACAACGTAAATCAGTTGATAGGTACTTCTCTGAATTGCCATAAGTATATGGAACTCGATATAGTTGATTTTGAAAAGCGTTTCGTCGTATTTCTTATTCAACAATAAGAATAGTGAATAGTGAATAGGCTTTTTATAGTGGTATAAGTAAAGAAAAATTTTTTCAAAAAAAGAAATAAATGTAGGAATGGCTAATATCAATCCATCAAAAACAATGCAAACAAGATACATATGTAGAAGGGATGGCACTTGCATCATCCCTATATAATAGCACAGGCACACAGTGTAGTAGAATGTTAACAGACAAAAATAAGATAAATTAAACTCAGTTGTGATTGAATAGTTACATATATTGCTATATGTTAATTCTTGTCTGTACTATTATGTAGGGATGATGCAAATTTAAAAATTTCAAGACAATAAAACCATCGCAGGCCTGTATAATTACTGTTTCACCATGTACTTAAGCTTCTTAAAGGAACACCAAATTTCTGTAAGAAAGCTAACTATAGGGGGTAATGATAACATCGTTTACATTAGAAGTATGATTTTTTTAATTACTACTAGTTAATGATAATATATGTAAAAGCGGATACTCCGTTTGAAGTTATGTCTCCTTAGTGAATTTGGTTAACACCATTTTTGTGATTTTTGAGTTATCATGTAATAAAAAAGAGAAAGAAGAAGAAAGAAGAACAAGAAATTCAAACTTTTAGTTATGATATTTACAGGCATTCCCAGAACTTATGACTTACTCATTATGTAGATATATTGTTATAAAATGAAACACTGTACAATATTGTAATGTTCTGGTATCCTATTGAGGAGATATTTAAAATACTATTTCGATGAATAATCTGAGCAATCCCTACATAGGAAGTGCTACCGCCTACCTGATACTACGTTTATGGTGATTTAAAAATACAAACCGAATGTTTTTGTTTTTTATGTTTTGCTAATTGACTAAAATGTGTGGAAGTACCTTTATATTGGTATTTTTAACTTGAAAAGTTTTTAGGACGTAACTGTAATTGTGGTTGATATCTTGAAAAATTTTGTAATGAAATATATCTGTCAAAATTGCCTTGCATACAAAATATGTCGTTTCCTTAAGACGTTTAATGTGAACTTTAAAGGTAGGTGTTAGTGAGCTTTATATCATGTATATTAATTAAGTGGAACATGGTTAGTTCTGAACATATATTTGTTTTATAAGCTGATATTGAGTACTAAATTACATGGACAATGATGGCCCCAGGCCTTATTGTTTTCTGACCGACTTTGCCTTCACGTTGTGTATTACAGAACCTAGTTTGTTAACGGTCATCCTATCAAATCACATCCAATGAATGTACTTGAGACTCAGTTTCGCCTAAATCGAGAAAATTAGTATTTTCATAACGATACATTTTTATGAAAACTGAAGTCTCTATGAGAATTTACATCGATCAAATAGACCACTGTAAGAATCATAGTTTACGCTTTCGTCATCATTTTATTTGTTAGACTATTCCAAACATTATTGAGAAATAATTACTTATCTTTGGATTACTAGTTCTATATTAGTTTATGAAAATTACAAGTAACTTCTTTATATTTAAATTGAGTTATCATAGTACAAGGAAATATTATCATGAAGTATTATGTCACTCCTTATGATAAAAATAGCGACAGAAACGTATTAAATGTCAGTGAAAGAAAGAATGATTTCATAGATTCAATGAAATGTGTGTTTATCTACCTATCGATTTTTCTATATTATGAATGC